TTGTTCTCATTCAACACATGCTTCACCATTACTCTTCTATTCTCATTGGTCAAATATCAAAAAGCAAACCCTTTCCCCAACTTTTCTTTATTGATTCCAATTGGCTAACTTGCTTAGGGTGGGCAATCTTCTTTATTTCTGTCAAGAACAAAGACCCCTCCATCAATGCATTTACAATTAATTTTGGTGGGCAAATATGTGGAGAAAATCCACAACTAAATTGGCATATGATCTTCATTTGAGAGAGTTATATGTTGGGTCTGATTTTTTATGTAGTTATGTGTCTATCTAATAGCAAGAGAAACATGATTATTTTATTTGATAAATACAGTTATACTGGTCATAGGTCCTTCGCAAATGCTACTAAAGTGAAAATTAGAGGGGGGAAATGCACAATCAAGAGAAGTTCTTTGATAAATTTATCCAATCATGTATGTCTAAAAATACAAGATACATGATCATCTTATTATATAAAAATAAGAACATAATGATCAAGTGTCACTACAAAAAATTAAGGTTTTAAAATTTAGGAACAAAATTATTTTTTAGGGATCAAATATTTTTTATGCGAAAAGTGTTGTTATTATATTTTTAGCAACGAAAATTAGACATTAGTGATAAATTATTATCCTTTTGGGACTAAATTTTTTGTCACAAAAAATAAACCGTTTTAAGACCAAATTATTTTGTTCCTAAAAGTTTATTTATTAGTGATGTTTCCAAAATTTTGTCGCTAAAAGCATTATTTTTTACTTTTCAGGACGATTTTTTAGCGACTATCCTCATGATGATAGAAATTGGTCCCTAAATATATTTTGTAACAAAATTTTTACTTATAGAGATCAAAATATTTGATTTCTAAAACTTTTATATGTTATAACGTGTTCTTTCTATTATTACTGAAGTGACAAATATACCGCCGATTGGAACATGTGTTTGGCTAATAGTAGAGGACACACAACCATCTTACTCAAAAAATAACAATATTGCGATAATGTGTTCTCCTACTACATGAAATGGTAAAAACATGTTTCATTGGAGAAAATGCCATAAGACTAAGCCTTTATTTGAGAAATATTTTTTTAGCCTGACTTTTTATTTTAATTTGACTAAAAAACTTTCGTTTGCAATGAATTTTTGAATTTTTTTGTAGTTTTGTGAGAAAAAAAATGAAATGATTATGATTTGAATGTAATATTTTGTCTTATTAACTATTTAGCATGTGAAAGGATAAAATGCACAGGCTAAAAAGTCAGTCCAAGTCCAAAAGCAATTAAGCAAGAGCGGCCCAAAGGAAAAGAAAGGCCTAGGTAGATTTCTAAAAGGCTCATTAGAGATGACTGAGAGCGTGAGAAGTAAAGGTCTCCTCCTAGAAGGAGATCAGCAAAATGCTAGAGAATCGTCGGATTCATCTTCATCTAGCAATAAAGACATCAAGCAGCAAATACAGAGACATAGGTCAAGCCTATTAAACGACACAACCATCTAATCAGCTTGATTGGATGAAACATAACACTAGGCAAGTTGGCTACTAACATTTGATGCAATATAAGTCGTCTAAGAAAAGATGATCCAACGATTAAAGATAAAAGCAACATGGCCACTTGTCTAACCAAATTCAGAAGTGGACAGAACCTTTGGATCAAACATCGATCCAACGGATGAGATTTAAGTCAAGAATGCTATAAAAGGTGAAGCAGGTGAAGCAAAGTAGACAAATCAAAGGTAATTTAAAAACCCTCTCTCAAAATAAAACTCTCTCATGGCTGAACAATATTCTAACTTGACCATCGGAAGGTCCTCCTGACCAACCATGGTTGGGAGTGATCACTAACGATTTGGTTTCTCTTTGCAGAAAATAAGAAGGGGCGCATCATTTCGCTTTCTCTGTAAAGAAGAAATCTACCTTTCGTATAGCTTATTTTGTTTTTTAGTGGGTTAAATTAATCTCAACCATCTTGCCAAATGAAGCAGAAGAGTTCTATGAGACTATTAATGTCATCTAAAAAGAAGATTAGCATTTGCATGGAGAGGCGGAATTGCTAATCTAATTCATGAGATTGGATGTTAAAAGACTATTTATGAGCCACTTCATAAAAATAACAAAGTCACATTTTATATAATAAGAAGTAACTCTATAAATCTTAACCAAGCAATGAAACCATATAAATGGACAAATAAACATAATTTGTCTTACATCTATAACTTAATATTACCACTAAATTATCATCACTCAATCTTACTTCCAATAACAATTTAATGTGACAATCAAACATGATGCTAAATCCAACCTATTGCATAACTTCTCTTCCCAAGTGACTTGACACAATTAGTTAAAATGGATGTACATGAAGTAATGTGTGGGTGACATGTGGATATCACTATAACCAACACGCACTTTCCTTGAGTTGTATCTTTAGGCCCTTCTCATCATGAATAATGAATATATTCCAAAATAAGAATAAAAACTTGTATCGCATCAGTTAAATGAATGGGAGGTGGAGTGAAAAGCTCTAAAGTAGATTTCGCTTTTGGGCAATTGCAAAGTAGTTTGATGCTAAAGGCTAGAAAAAGACCCGAGTAATACATGAAATACAAATTTCTTATGCTAAAAGAAATGAGAACATTTTTTTGTTTTGTTTTTTTGTTTTTTTTTCAAAAGATTGCCAATTGGAGCTTCAAATTTTGCCTTCCAACTCTGTGAATGTACTATCTTGGTACAACAATCCACTAACCATCCTTTAGTATAACCAAAATCATGTTTTACCACCAAGTTATACCATGTGGTTTTTAACTACTGGATCAATTCTTTCAGTTTCACTGCCTTTCCAATAAATTGAAATTATCATATACAATGTGGCCAAGACGCATCAACATGTAAATGGAACCCACAAATATAAGGTTTTTGCCCAGCTAGGTCCATGATTCGAGTTTCACTCCCGCCCCTTCTCCCTCTCAAATAAAACAACAATATGATGTGAGAATGTTTCTATGATGTAAAAAAATGCAAATGGCAAGTAGTACTGTAAATATTATGTTGGTGAAGATGTAACATTGAAGGAAAGAAGAAAAAAAATAGAAAGTGTAATTATAACAAAATAAGTGCAGTTAGGCCAAGGGGTTGGTTGTATGGTTGCGAGTAGCAGTAGTAGGGGTATTTTGTACTTTCCGAATCTCTCTCAGTGCTTCTCATCTTCCTGTACCTTTAATTTCATGTTGTTTAATGAAATTTTTCTTTGCTGATAAAAAAAAAAGAAATATCAGTGATTCTGGACACGCCCCTTCTCCCTCTCAAATAAAACAACAATATGATGTGAGAATGTTTCTATGATGTAAAAAAATGTAAATGATGGCAAGTAGTACTGTAAATATTATGTTGGTGAAGATGTAACATTGAAGGAAAGAAGAAAAAAAAATAGAAAGTGTAATTATAACAAAATAAGTGCAGTTAAGTTTGCACTCAAACAGAGTCAAATAGATATGCAATGGCAAAAAAGAGAGCATTTAGGATATGTTTGGATTATAAATTTAGATAGAAATCTGAAAAGGAAAAAGGGAAATATATATATATATATATATAAATATGTGTACGTATATGTTTCATTGACATTCCGATTACATTTTCTTCCTTTTTTTCTTAATTTTTTTTCTAAATTTATGATCTAAATACAAAGATTTAATGAGAATTAGCTCTTAGAAAATGGTTACATGATCATAGCCATCCATGGTCCACTACAAGATAAAATTAAAAACATGATTACTTTTTTAGAATAGCAAAAGACAAAGTTCCATATTGACAACCTTTCTTTAGTGATATAAGTCTTCTTTTAGTCTTAAACTAAACTTCTGTTTGAAGTTTCTTTTGTTACTTTATGATCATCGCCATCATAACATAATAAACACTATCCCCACCAGCTTTCATAATGTTAAAAAATATAATTAAAATTTTCAAACAAAAAGAAAAAGAAAGAAAGAGATATATCATGCCCATAATTTCTGTATAGTTTCTCTCCTATCAATTTGGTCCTTATAATTCTAATTGTATCAAATATATTTTGAAATTTTTTATATGACACCAATTTAGTTTGATTGATAATGTCATTTTAGAAATTAGACTAAAATTCAAAAAAAAAAATTGTATTTGACAACCTTTCTTTAGTAATAATTAGTGTTCTTTATTCCTTAACTAAACTTGTGTTTGAAGTTTCTTTTGTTACCTTATCATCTTTGCTATCATAACATAACCCCAGGGGTTGAATAAGTTGATAAGGTAACGTCCTGCTTGACCGATGATCTCGGATTCAAAATTGATACCAAACCTCTTTATAACCCTTGATTGAAATTGGTGGGTGAGGGATGGATTATCAACATCATCTTCCGAATTGACTTATAAGGTTAAGTTATAAATGAGTCTGGCTTTAGAGGTTCCTGGGTCCAAAAAAAAAATGATCACAACACCATCCCCAACAACTTTCCATTATCTTAAAATATACAATTAAAAATTTCATAAGAAAAGAAAAAAGAGAAAGACAAATCATGCCCATAATTTGTGTAGTTTCTCTCTTATATTAATTTTATTCTTATAATTCTAATTGTATCAAATGTAATTTGAATTTTTTTATATTATATCAATTTAATTCAATTGATAATGTTCAACTGAAATAAAAAAAATTAATTTTTTTTTTGTTTTTGTCAACTTACTCTCCTCAAAGTAATTGAAAGATTATCCAATTTCTAACGCTATGTTTGGTTAGGAATTTAGAAAGAAAATAAAAAAATGTGTAAAATTAGATGAAATATATTTTATTGATCTTTACCTATCTTTTCTTTTTTCTTTTTAAATTTCTTCTCAAATCCTCTAACCAAGCACGACATAAAAAAATGAGATCAATTGAACACATTAACATAATCAAAAAAACTTAAATATAAAATTATTATAATTGAAATTATAAGAATTACATGCATGATTTGTCCCCAAAAAAAAAAAAAACTTATTAAAATAAGCTATAATGTATACCAATGCATGGTATCATTATTATAAAATAAAATTAAAAAAAAAAACGGATTACATGATAATAGTAAATTTTACTGTTGGAATTAACGATTAGAAGGTTGGTGACGTATGGTTTCATTTACTACAAATTTGTTTTCGAAACCCTAACTTGTCATTTTGTAAATCATATTCCAAGTAAAAATTCTGTTGCTGGTAATTTCCCAAAATAATCGACGGCCCTCCGCCCACCTGCGGCCCGACAAAGGTATCGGTGACAATCGTCATACATGCGACGCTCACCCCACCAACGAAAGAAAAATAATCGGCCAGCGGCAATGCCATTTTCGCACCACCCTTAAAATGAAAAATTAAATCGGGAAAAAACACCAGTTTTTTCCCCGAAATATCGTAACAAGGCCTTAATCCGGTCCGATTTTCCACGTCATCAGCCTTGCTATATTGCGCCATTTGCTTTTCAAACTCTTGTGCCACCACCTCAAACACCTTCCTCTCCATGAAGGTGAAGGTGGTGCCGGAATCAACTATCGTGCCGCCGTTGCCGTCAGATCCCGGCACCAGAAAACTGTGCGGAACCTTCACGTGCTTGCCGCCCACCGTTATTTTTCGGAGATTAACGTAATAATAATCCCGAAATGCCGAATTTCCGGCGAATGAATTATTGACAAATGGCGTGTAATCCACGTCTCCGGTGCCGGAATCTGACCCACTCACCAAAACAAGGTCACTACTCACCGGCGTGTCATCGAACCGGTGAGACACCAGACAGTATGAGAATTTTTTAAGACCCATCTGCGCCGGGAGAGACTCCGGCCCGCGCCCGAACCCGGCAATCCCGGAGGGTTGCCGGGTCGATACAATGGAGCATCCGAGAACAAAATCTTCTACAGTTTTATCAGGAAAAATAAGGGTTTCGGATAGGAGTAACCCGAAAGTTGAACCCGACCCGTATTGGATCCCATACGATGGACAAATCTGGGTACAGTTGCTGGAGCCTGCTTCGCAGCCTTTGCACTGGGTTCGGATATCGGGTCCGAAAACCCACCCGCATTTTGGGTTTCCGCACCCGAGAATCTTGGCTGAGGAAGAGGATTTGGGTAGGAATGTGGAAAGATTTGATGGGTTTTGATTTGGGAAGTTGCAATTGGAGCAAATGTAGCGATGGGTGCAAGGGACCCAGACGAGGCTGCTGCCGGTGTCCATGAGGAGAGAGAGGGCTTGTGGGGGAGTGCCAAAGCTGAGAGAGATGGAGTAGCCACCATAGCTGTGAGGGAAGAGAGGGGTTTTGATTTTGGTGTGAGAAGAGTTTTTGTGGGGGGTTTTGAGGTGGTGAGCTCTGGATATGGAGGAGGAAGTGAGGTGGTTAAGTGTTTGATATGGGTTTGGGAATTGGGTTTTGGTTAGTGGTGAGAGAGAGAGGGTGGTGGTGGTGGTGGTGGTGGGTGGTGGTGATGAAGAGGATAGGGCGAGGAGAGAGAGGAGCGAGAGGAGGATGAGGAGATAAGGTGAAGCCATGGAGGTTTTTTTGAGGTAATAGTGATAGGACTATAATTATGTTCTTGGTTTTGTTGTTATTATATATGCCAAGCTACCCTACACCTAGTGTTCCATTGGAATATTTCCGACCATCCTTCATAGTATTAATTTTGATATTCTAATAAAACATTAATGACATAACAATGAGAAAAAAAAATAAAAATAAAAAAAATAATCAAGATCAAAATATCACATCATAGTGGATGGGGTCTACTGTCAGCTCATTAGAGCTGATTTTAGAACTTAAGAATTAAAGTTCCAAAATATTTTTCAAATTTTTTTTTTTAAATCACTTTATTTTGTGGTTTTTTTTTTTTAATTGGTTTATGAAATTACTTTTTTTTATTAACGTGAACAAAATGGCATGAATATAAGAAGCGTGAGAGGGAACAAGTGATTCAATTATTAATCACTTGTCCTATCTTTTTATGGCTTTTTTTTTTCTATTCTTTTTTTATTAATTTAAGAAAACACTTTCAATGATATAAGTCACTTAATTAAAAAATTCAAGGAGACAAAAAAGAGACATGAGAGAGGAAGTGATTTTGATTCGTTATTTTGTCTCATATTTTAAATTATTCATAGTTATTAAAGTTGAAACATAGATTTCATTTCTGAAATTTTTGAGTCTACGCATAAACTTAAACTTGAAATTTTTAATGTCAAAAAGATATTATTTATCTAAAATAACACCTATCTGTTTGTACACGTATTATCTATCTATTCACTTATCGGTTTATTATCACTTATTTGTCCACTTCACTGCCACCAGTGACTTTATGGTCAATTTTTCAACGCCAACGATTTTTTTAACAACTTTTCAACGTATGTCCTTATCACCAAAAATGATTAAACTAAATAACATACCTCCTCATAGGAATGAACCAATTAACCTGTATTAAAATGTAATTTGAAATTTATTGACTTGGAATTTTTTGTATAATTTAATGATTATGAATAATTTTGAAAAGGAAAAACAAATGACAGAAGGAGAAATTTTTTGTGTAAAAAAAATAAAAATAAAAAAAATAAAATAAAATCAAACTAGTGTTGTCATTACGTATGCTCTCTGATGAGTGAAACCAAAAGGTAAAATTTAAAAGAATAACGGGTACTTGGTGAAAAATTAAAAGGTGGAGATTCTCTTAGAAAAACACACAGCAGCCGCAGAAGAAGACGACTAAGGTTGTTGACAAGATTTTAGAGCCGTTGTAGTCGGTGGACAATTATTCTTGTATTATTTTTTTTATAGTAATGTTTAATTTCATTTTACTAAATGAAATCTTAATTTTATTTTAGACTTGAATTTGTATATAGAGAAAGCAGTGGACCGTTGTGGAGGTCTGGGGCCTCTCTGGTTACAAAAATACAACGTGGAAAGAGACTGCTAGTTGCTTGGCTTGGTGGTGGTGGTGGTGGTGGTGGGGGGGTCCAGTCACCACCCAGATAATGTGAATATTTGGGGGTCCATTGTTGTTTTTTTTTTTTAATAATTATTATTTTATTTATAAATAAAATTTTCATATTTTGTAAGAAAATTTTAATTATCTCTCAAATCTTTTCAAATTGGTCAGCCCTTCTCATTTTCCACTTCTTTTTATTACATTTTTTCTCTATTTAAAATTATTTTAAAAAATCTTTTTTTTTTCCTATTCATCCATCCATCCTGTGTCTGCTAGTTACCAACGCCTCCCTCACTCCACCACCCTCCACCACTTTCAGCCTTCCCCAATGCCACCATCCTTTCTTTGCTAGTCACTGCCCATCCCACCATCGCCTCCCTCACTCTTCCAGCCCTCCCCAGTGTCGTTGCCTGTCCCCGGCACCCCCAAACCCGCTACCTTCCCCATCTACCACCACCTGCAACCCCCCCTCTCACCGCACAGCCCCTTGTCCTGCTACCATCCCCTGCCATATTGAACTGTAAACAATGGCTGCCACAGTTCCTGGGTTTGCAAGTCTGGTGAGCTTTGAAGCCTTCTGACCAAAGCACAGTGTAACGGCATGACAAAAAGCCCTCCTAATGGAAAGAAACAGATCAAGCAAACATTGACGAATTCTAAATACAGGGGTACATCTGGTCCATTGCATTTTGTTCCCAGAAACCACCTCCCAAAACTCGTCAACAAGACTTAAAAAAAAACATTACATGAAAACCCTCTAAAACCTCTATAAATGACAAATGGAAATGCTAATGGGTTGTTTTGCTCTCTCTATTTTCTTCATATTGCAGAAAAGTATTCCTTGCTGAGCTTGGGATCTGGCTTCATCGACTTCTCTCCCGGTTTCCATCCAGCTGGGCATACTTCATCCGGGTTCTCCTGCACGTATTGCAATGCCTGCACCACCAACATTACAGCGCAAGAAACAAAGCACCAGAAACCAATTAAAATTTTATTTTTCACTATTTAATCTGTGTGCAAGTGGTCCTGGGGCATGCCCCTTGTAGTTGTGTATCCTTGTTTTTTATTTATGACTTATTCACCCAAAAAAAAAAAAACCTGTGCACATGCCTGCACCACCAACATTACAGCGCAAGAAACAAAGCACCAGAAACCAATTAAAATTTTATTTTTCACTATTTAATCTGTGTGCAAGCAAGCACCAGAAACAAAATCCCACGAGCGAGCCACAACAATGGATAGTGGGATGTGCGTTTGCAGCAATGCCACACATTCCACTCAATAATTACTCGTGTGCTAGGCATTAAAATAGGTAAAGGCCTAAGAAAATAAAGTTTGCTCTTCAATTGAATAATATATTATTACCTGAAGCGTTCTCATTGTCTCATCAACACTCCTGCCAATTGCAAGATTGTTAATGGTGGAGTGCTGAATAACTCCTTCCTTATCAATAATGAAAAGTCCCCTCAATGCAATTCCCTGAAAATAAAATGCATCCATTGCAGATAATGAAAGAACATAAGACAGAATGTTAAGGCATTAATAACATCATTTATTTTTTGAATATTTAACCATAATTCATAAATAGAAATGGGGTCACCAGAAAGATGATCAACACAACAAACAACAGAAGTTCAATTTACAGTCAGTCAAAACAGGTGGTGGCAAGAAAACTCGATACCATACTTTCAAATTCGCTTTGATGTTTTTCAAATTATTACTTTCCACAACTACAAACCAATACCTACTAACGTTTCCTAAACACTCCTCATACACACAAAAATTAAACAAATTTTCCAAAGATAGCATCAATAATTTCTCTAACACCACAAACTAAGGAGACAGTTTGAAGACAAAGAACACTGCTTCTGACCAAATGAATAGCTATAAATTCCTTAACAAAACAATGGATTATTGACTATAGTGAACAAAGACGAGCACAGAGACTGTTTCCTTGTTAATACTGCAACACTCAGAGACCATGATTAATATAAGAAATCTCTCCTCAGGCACAAAGTGCATATAGAAGAATACAGCTTTTCTTCCATAATAGAATGAGGATTTATTTTTTGAATGTCTTTCATTATAAGATGAGTTCATCAATAAATATGAATAGGTCAACCATGTTGATGATAAGTCTTAGAGCAAAGGCAAAGGCTCCCCTTGAACATACAGTGGAACAGAACGGCTTTCCTTCAGTTATGGAATCACACACCCCTTCCACTATACTAGATCCTCACCCAGCATAATTCTTCCAACTAAGTGTAGTAACCTATATATGTTCTAGGATGAGGTGATGGAAAAATTATCAAAGAACAATGAAATAGTTGAAAATAATTACATAGAGCAGACCTGATCCGGAATCAGCACATCATACGATTTTGAAATTGATTTGGTCACATCAGAAATCAATGGATACTTTAGATCACCAAGCCCCCCAGACTTTCTATCTGTTTGGACCCATGCAAGGTGGGAGAACTACACAAAAAAGAACATAAAATCATCATGATTTACAAAGCAAATTAAGATTCCTAAAATGAGAGCAACAAAAACAAAATACAACAGCTAAGCAATTAGTGGAAACATTGATAATCATGCAATCCAAAAACCCGCATCAAAAGCCACAAACTTTGAAGGATTAAAAATATTAAATATATATGTGGTAAGTTGGTGAATGTAGCCCTACTGCACCCTGCGTGGAGGTTTAGCACGTAGCAGTATCCCAACTCTTAACCAAAAGCGTCCCACTCAAAGCTTTTAAAGGCGAATGCGTACCTCGAGGCATTTTACCCCTCATGAGGCGAGGCGTAAACCTCAAGGCATTGAGGCGTAAGCATTTCAAATTTTAAATATTAACACTTAGTGAATAAATTAAATATTTAAAAAAAACAAAATTAAATATGAAGGAGTAAATACTTTTCTCCTTAGGGTGTCGAACATTTTACTACATAGAAAGAAGTTTGCCTTCAATGAAAGTGAAATTGATATTTTTAACTTTAATGATTGAGCTTCTCAACCATTTACTGTGTTTTTCTTGATTTGATCATGTACTTGTCGAATATAGTTGCAAAAAGGGATTCTTTTTATTTTTTGTTTTTTTTTATGTTTAAGCAATCTACTAGACTAAGTTTAGCAAAAGCCCAATGCAACCTCTGCTGCATATGCATACTTCTCATATGTTTATGCACAAAAAGCGTACAAAGCACAACTAACGCGCATGTCTCAAACTGCAATGCACAAGCCTTTGGGGAGTAATGCCTAAAAATCAAAGTCTTGATGCGTTTTACTTTCGCCTCGAGGCAAGGCGAGCCTCAGCAAAGCCTTTTACAACTTTCCCACTCTTCTTACTTCAAAAAAGGACAATTGGGTAATTAATTATCCAAGAAACTATGGAGTTCGACTCTCTCCTCTAAAAAGGTGAAGGCCAAAGTACCCTTCAAAACAAAACCATACACTCTCTTCCGACCCCTCCCCAGCAACCATAGCCAAAGGCCCCTCAAGATTAACCCATCCTCATACCCAAACAAATCTATGTCAACCAAAATAAAATCAATAACCAGCTAATGAGGAGAAGAAACGAAGAGAAACAAGTGTGGAGCAAACCAAACCAAAGGGCGGAAGTGGTGATTGACAGTGATAGTATTGTTTTGGTAATAGACGAAAGTCGAGATTATTGTGACAGTAATTTGTATGGCAACAAATATTAGTACTGTGAGATGATGTTGCAGATTGCAATGGGTGGAAACAGCGTGCGTACAGGTACAGATCATTGAAGATGATGGAGATAACCAACTGCAACGAAGGTGGTGTGTTGCTGATTTTGATGTAAAGATGCTGCCAGCATTCACTGCCTAAAAGTAGAACATCAAGACAAGCAAAACTAGTGACTAGATGGGAAAGGAAGAAGATCAGCAGGCTTTCTCAACCCCGTATTCATAAAATAGGGCCCCATAAAATATTTTCTATTCAGGAAAAGAAAGGTAGAATTTGGCCAATTGCATGGCAACATTGAGAAGCTAAAAGTGAGGTATAAGCAACCCTAAGTCACATTGCTTTTATATTCAGGGAAAGAAAGGTAGAATTTGGCCAATTGCATGGCAACATTGAGAAGCTAAAAGTGACGTATAAGCAACCCTAAGTCAAATTGCTAAAAGAAATAAGAATTTAGACAGGAGGTGAAAAGCTTGGGTGATGTCCATGACGGCCCAAACATAGAAATTGACCCTTGGAGTTAATTCTATTTCTTTTCTTTTCCTATTTATGGAGGGTATTTCATGATGGCCCAAGCATCACTAATTGGCCCATAGGTACCCAAGTGCAAAAGGTTCTGACGTGCAGGTGAAGAATTAAACATACAGCTATGACATGTCCACCAATGGATGTCACCATTTGAGTTATATTATTAAGTAAACTGAAATATATTCAATTTACATGAATAAAAAGAAATAAGCCAAAAAAAAAAACTTACCACGCTGTCTATGGAAACACCCAATATTTCTGTGTTTAACTTCTCAAATTCTGCATGACGGTCACTGAATGCAGTGATTTCTGTCCATCAAGAATGAACAGAAAACAGAAATAGGTCATATGCCTGCTACAAATAGACTTCGGTTTACAATTCTTACAGCAAAACTATAATAATAACAATTAGGGTAAAATACACTGACCATTCCTAAGGTTTAAAAAAATATAATAAGCCCCACAAATTTGACATAATTACACCGACTTCCCTATTAATGAGGCTGAACTAATGTTGATGGTTTGTACGCACATGGTTAAACAAGGGTAAATATACATTTCAATATCAAAGAGATGAAAATATCATTTTTTTCATTCATACGACTCAACGAATTATTGATGAAAAGGGGAAGTGTTGTGTGAATTAAAACCTTAGAGAGCCCAGTGTAATTATGTCGAACTTGTGCAGTTTGACGCATTTTCTCTAAACCTCAAAGGAGGTTAGTGTAATTTACATTCGCTCAAAGTCAAACTCACCGGTGGGGCAAACAAATGTAAAATCCAGAGGGTAGAAAAAGAGAATAACATATTTCTTCCCAATATACTCTGAAAGTTTAACCTGCAAGAACAAACCTTTAGTAAGGAATATAAACTAAAATGTATATAGTATAGTAAAAATGCAAAGTATGCAATGCTGAATGAAATCCTGGCCCAAGCAAACCGAATTTTTCTATATGCAGAATCTTTCTTCATATCTGAGTTGACACATGACAACAATTTATTAGGCCATGATCAAAGTTAAATTTTAAATGAAAAAACATCCTACGTCCATAATTCTCTCTTACATTGTTTTTCAGAAGTTTTTTCAAAGGAAAATGACCAATCAATCAGACGGATTAGTGATTTATCATCACTGACACAATAATAACACTTGGTAGCCTTCAGCTAGTGTGAGTAGGGAATTAGAAATCTTGTTGATTGTACTCTTGACCATAGGTCAAGCCTAATCATTTAATTCCAAAATTGGAGTACACTGCACCCAAGTCCAAAACTAGAAATCAAATTTACTCAAAAGGATCCCAACCATCAAACTCCCCACTCAGAGTGCACCCATTTCTGAAACCAAGATAACAACCATATACATGAAGTACATGATTGCTGAGCCCAAGAAAGATGATATTTCATACTTTTGTTTTAAATCAAACACTGTTCTTTTCTTTCATATTCTACCTTGATGAACTCCTGATCAAAAACAGCCTCAGCCTCAAAGTCTGGTGCTATATTTCCAACAAGTGGAAGCTCACCCTGTTGCAAAGACATACGGGAACATAATGAGAATGTATTCCTGAAAGCCAATTTACGAATGAAACATATGAATTTGACAGAAATGATTTAGATGAAATTAACAGATAACATAACAATTGTAGATCGGCTACCCATTTTAATTATCCTGCAGATGACATCTGGAAGATCATCTACCCGTTATAATTATACGTAGCCTTAATTGAGTTGATAGCCTTAATTATACCCGTTATAATTATACATCCCAAACTGGAAACCTTCCCTTTCCTTTTTAGAAATAGCTATTGTATTGAAGAGGGAGATACAAACATAAAAGATATGATTTTGTGCAAGAGGCACAAAGGCTCGACATATTAAATTCTTTCACTCTTCGGCACTCAGCTTTTAAGCTAGTTTATTGGATTAAAATTAGCCTACAAATAACTTGTTTCTTAAATAAGGTAAGTTTGTTTGGCATATTCCTAGCCTCTTTTTTTTTTTTTTTGGCTTTTGTCTAATGACTCTTTTCAAGTGACTAAAGTTGGGTTTTTGGCAGGAAATGAGCGTGCCAAACGATTTAAAACTTTTTTTTTTTTATAACAAAATGGCCTTGTTAAGCCCAGCCTAGCGAAGCCTAATTCAATTCGCAAATAATAACTTGAAACCAAAATTGCATAAACAGTAATAGATTTCTACATTGAAATAAAGGGCTAAAAGAAAAAACATTATATAATTCAACAAAAATCCAAAATTACAAAGCGTAACAAAAACTTGGAAGAAAAAAAAAACATAACTTTCATAAACACTCAAAACCCTCAACTTTATGACACATTAAAACTTGATTAAACACAAATTTCCAGAGTCAAAACCAAGAATCTACCCAGAAATGAAACTGAAACATGTGTATATACGTAGAGACAACATTAAGAATCTAGCAAGAAATGAAAATGAGAAATTGTAGACAATGAATTACTTACGGCCCTGACAAGGAAAGTCCGGCGGGAGAGAGATCTGGGGGAGGAGATGGAACGAGAGAGGAAGGGTTTGCGAAGGCCGTTGAAGGAAGTGGGGAAGATAGATAAGGTTTTGGTGGAAAGGGATGATTTGGGGGAAATGTAAGAAGAGGGCCTAGTAATAGGGTTTGGAGATGAAGAAGAGAGTAGAGCTGTTGTTGAAGTAGCTGTGCAAGCCATTGCCATACAAACCAAGCGCTCTCTCACTCTCTCTCTCTGAGTAATGAGTCAATGGTGAAGAGAGTGGGATGAGTGAGTGGATAAGTAGCTGCCCTGTTGTTGTGGGAGAGAGAAGTTGGTTGGGGGTTGGTTTCGTTTGGTGGTGTCTCCCTGTTAAAGTTTCAGGTGAATTATGGTAGAGATTTTTTAAGATTTATTAAAAATAATTTAATATTTTTTAAGATTTATTTTATATGGATTTGAGATTCGTATGAGATTTATATTATATGAGTTTTACATTGGATAAAAATTTTGATAAATTTTTTAAAAAAATTTAATATTTTTTATTTCAAATATTTCTTTTATTTTAAGAGGTGGCTTTCTTTTCTTGTTTTTTACTTATCCCTTTTGTTTCAAAATATTAATTCATTTTGAAAATTTATAATTATTACATTTTAAAAATATTAATTTTTTAAAACTATTCTTTAATAGTACAATTTTAAAAAAAATATTAAGTGTTATAATTATACTTTTTTATATACTAATATTAAAAGGACAAAATAAGGAATTTATATTACTTAGTCTTTAATTTTTTAGAATTCACTAATATTTTGAGATAATAAAAAATAAAATAATGAACTAATATTTTGGAACGAATGGTGTATTTATTTAAATTACTTTACATATAATCTATCTATACTATATATTAAGAAAAAAATAATTTTTAAAGAAAAGGGTCTTGTCAATCTCAAAATCCTCATATTATTTTTCTACAATTCTTATTTTTAAATAATTAAAAATATTCTATTGGCTAATTTTTATTGAGTCATTAAAAAGATCTTAATTTACACATTTCAAAAGGAAAGTTAATTAATCCATTTATAATTTAAATGAACTAATATTTTGAAACGAATGGTGTATTTATTTAAATTACTTTACCTATAATCTATCTATACTATATATTAAGGAAAAAATAATTTTTAAAGAAAAGGGTCTTGTCAATCTCAAAATCCTCATATTATTTTTCTACAATTCTTATTTTTAAATAATTAAAAATATTCTATTGGCTAATTTTTATTGAGTCATTAAAAAGATCTTAATTTACACATTTCAAAAGGAAAGTTAATTAATCCATTTATAATTTAAATTTAGAAATTTGAAAACGAAAGTTAACAAATCAGTTTTAAATTATTTTTTTTTAAATCTTCTAGCTCTTATGGAATCATTTAAACTTGATTTACATATTTCAAAAGGAAATTAATCAATCCATTTATAAGAAATTTGAAAAGGAAAATTAACTAATCGGTTTTTAAAATTAAAAAAAAATCTTCTAACTTTTATTGAATCATTAAAAAAAAAATATTGAAACATCCCTCTCCAACTTTGGATAGTAGAAGAGATCCAATATGTTTTTTTTTTTTATTAGCTAAAATCCCTTGATGAAATTTCTCTATGATTATATCAAAGAAATTTTAAAATTTCTCTGTAAATATATCAAAGAAATTTTGAAATTTCTCAATGAAATCAAAGAAATTTCTCTGTGTAGGGGCAAAATTTCTCTGCGTCGAATTTTCTCTCAACTACTGTAAAAATATTGTATGCCATTTATCTTATAAAATCTTAATATCAAGAACCTTAAAAAAAAAAAATCCCCTTTCTATATAAGAATTTAAAACACAATTTTAAAAATATTTCCATATTAGTGTTTGAAGAAATATAATTATGGGAAAATTGTAAATTCATTATAATATACTCCACTCACTTATTAATGCATTAATTTAAAATTAATTTTATTCTTAAACTGATTTTTGTAGGTGAAGGTTTCCTTTTTTAAATTAAGAATGATTTACAAATAATAATAAAAAATTATAATTATGATAACATAATTTAAGAAAAACGATATTGATGACAATATAATGGTTTTTTTTTTTTAAGGCCCCTCGTATTGAGGCCTTGTTTGGCATGATTTAAAAAAACTAAAAAGTCAAAAAATCACTATCTTATTTAAGTCACATCATCTTATTTAAGTCACATCACATCTCTAACACATCACTTCAAACCCAACTAATATTTCATAAAAAGTCAAAAAGTGCACTTGTTTAGATCATTCCAAATCACCCCTAAGATTTTATAGCACAAAAGACATCTAATATTTTCATAATGTCTAAGGTCCCTCAAGTTGATCTAGAGAAAATTGGTCTAGAGAATATTAGTTCAGAGAAAATTGGTCCAGAGAAAATTAGTCCAGAGAAAATTCACGTCACAGAGCCAGACAACGTAGCAACCCTTTCTTCAAGCAACCTTTGCTTTTGTTGGAAATCCAGAGAAAGTTGGAAAAGAAGAGGTTGCCAAATTTCTCTAGACAACATTAAGGACTAGTTCAATCCAAACTAGAGAATTTCTCTGGATCAACCCAGAGAAATTCTATGAGAAATTTCAGTTCAAATCATAGAATTTCTCTGGACCAATCCAGAGAAAATTCAGTTTAAACCCGAGAATTTCTCTGGACCAACCCAGAGAAATTTCTGTACCCAGAGAAATTTCTGTTCAAATAAGAAAATTTCTCTTCACCAATCCAGAGAAATTTCAGTTCAAAGCAGAGAGAGAAGATCATTTCATTGAGTGAATAAGCAACAAAATATATATATATATATATTAAACATATTTCTCTGAGTTTATTTTTTTGAAATTTCACTGACTTGTCTCAATAAATTTCACTGGGTTTGATCCTCTTCCTCAAAACCTTATTGCCCCATTTCAATCATCAGCTTATCCGGATCAATCACCGATCCCCTCTTTCCAATGGCTTGCCGTTACGAAATGGAGGTGAACGTGACGTCGGCGAAGGATCTGAAGAACGTGAACTGGCGTTACGAGAGACTGAAACCATACGTCGTGGTGTGGGTTGAGCCCAACAACAAATGCTCCACCAAGGTCGTTGGCGCAGCAAGGGGGCGAAGTCAGATCGGCGAAGCTCAGCCGTCGTCGTGAATCGCCGTCGTCTCAGTTGCACCAAATCTACACCAGATCTTCATCTACAACAAAATCTCTCGTAACTTTGCATTCGCCGCCTCCTCTAGCAGCTTGGGGTCACAAGAACTGCTGGAGCATAAACATAAGCCACAAAATTTGCAACCTCTCCAACAATCACTACATGTGCAAAAATGTCAGAACATAATGTTAATAACCCATTGGACAAGTACATTTTCCCAAAATAATCAAATTCATTATGCAATGAAAGAAACTAAATAAATTAAAGATTAAACTATAAAATAAATATAAAAAATAAAAAAGTAGTAGAGATCTAATACAGACTGACCTGCACGAGTGCCTGAATCAACAAAACGCTTGAGCCCTTTCTTCTTTAGGATGAAACTAGTGCCTATGAACAAGCTCGAACCCACGGCTAGTATCAACCCTTTCGCATTGTCCGAAGTCCCCATCTCTCTCTCTCTCTCTCTCTCTCTCTCAACACATAGCCTTGTGTGTATCAATTGAATCGTGCGTCAATCGATGACCGAGATGAGAACAAATCTAGATTTCCCGCCAAGAGAACTCGAACTGTTGAGCCTTTTTTAATCTTCCCTTCCCTCCAAGAACGAGTGTTAACAAAGAGTAAAATTTCTCTAATATATGTTTAGAGACCTTAGACATCAAAAAATAATTTTGTGGATCTCTTCCATTACGAAAAATGGGAGAGGGACCCTAGACTAATTTTCCCCAATATAATTATGACAGTACATTTTTAAGGGAAAAAATTATAATAATATTTAAAGTGACACCTTTAAAAAGTTTGAAATTTAAATTTAAAATAAATCTAATTTCGGTAACCATTGCAATACATAATGATAAGTTGAATTTTTAAAAAATATTTCAAATTGTAAAAGGTCAAGACATTCATCTCGTTTGATATCATTCTCTTAATTTGGCCATGACACTACTATTTTTATTTTTTAGCGTTATTTATTTTTTAAATGCCAAATATTAGACAATTAGGAAACTAAAACACTAATACAGTGAATAAATAAAATAAACTGTATTTGTATGTTAAAAAACCTACCTGAGACAGCTTATAGGTTGCATTTTTTACTTTGTGTTTGGTTGAGAGTGTGTCAAATCATTCTACTGGTCAATACTTAAGCTTTAATATTTGTAGGTGTTGTTAAAAATGTATAATTAAACAAAATAAATAAATTCATGATTTGTTAAATTAAATAATAGAATATCAAATAAATCCATATTACATTGTAGAGCATAATATAGAAATACATATCATATAATATACTGAAAGATGATAAATCAAACCAAATTCTGTGTGGTACCACAGTGTCCTTAAAACAGATTAGCCGCCTCACCGTGGGTGCTGGAGGAACATCAACTTCTGTTTCTCAAGATAAGATGGCTTAAATCGTCTAACTCAGAAGCACCTTCTGTTAACTTGGCGAACCGACAATGACAGCACTCTCTCTCACACAGGAAGGATTTTATAAGAGCAAACAAACTGACTATATGATTGGAAGGCAAAATATTCTGTACCAAACCAAGGGAGATGAGTCTCCTCTTGTACACAATGGGGGAGAGATGAGGAGTCTCCAGCCATCAAGGCTGGCCACTAATGGAGGCCATTACTCCTGTAAAACTGCTGGAGTAATGCACAAAACTGATTAGAATTCAAAGTGTGAGTTACACACAATATACACATGTCTATATACATTTCCGCAACAGACTTGGGCCTGCAATAGACCTAGCCCAAAAAGAATAAGTTGGTGGACCACCAATCCAGCCCAGTCCAAACCTAATCCATTCCCTCAAGCCCAAGATCCTATATCCACTACCTACGCCAGACCCGAACCTGGCCCGGCCTGGCCTAGGCGGGTGGGCAGCGCGTGCTTGTGCCAATTTTTCCATAACCAACTTAGACCATAGTCTTGGCCCAAGCCCATCCTTGAAGCATCCATGCCTTCCTTCTTTCAAAAAATTTGGATGCCCCAAAGGGCTCATGCCCTTCTCGTAATCTTGAGGCTTAAATACCCATCAAAGTTTTCCTCTACAATCAATGTAGGATTGGTAGTTATACACAATTCCCAAAACCTCATTCATGAGGCCATCTTTATGAGACAATTTTTCATTCAATTCTCAATGGTTTTTGGTCATTCTTTATGTGGTGTAAAGACCT